CACCTCTCACTCCTGATCCATGCACCAAACCACCTTCTCACTCCTGATCCATGCAAACAAAACCACCTCTCACACCTGGATCCATGCAAACAAACCACCTCCTGATCCATGCAAACAAACCACCTCTCTCACTCCTGATCCATGCAAACAAACCACCTCTCACTCATCCATGCAAACAAAACCACCTCACTCCTGATCCATGCAAACAAACCACCTCTCACTCCTGATCCATGCAAACAAACCACCTCTCACTCCTGATCCATGCAAACAAACCACCTTCTCACACCTGATCCATGCTACCAAAACAACCACCTCTCACTCCTGGATCCATGCAAACAAACCACCTCTCACACCTGATCCATGTAAACAAAACCACCTCTCACTCCTGATCCATGCAAACAAACCACCTTCTCACTCCTGATCCATGCAAACAAAACCACCTCTCACCCTGGATCCATGCAAACAAACCACCTCTCACCCCTGATCCATGCAAACAAACCACCTCACTTCCATGCAAACAAACCACCTCTCACTCCTGATCCATGCAAACAAACCACCTCTCACTCCTAATCCATGCTACCAAAACCACCTCTCACCCCTGATCCATGCAAACAAACAACCTCTCACACCTGATCCATGCAAACAAACCACCTCTCACTCCTGATCCATGCAAACAAACCACCTCTCACACCCTGATCCATGCAAACAAACCACCTCTCACACCTGATCCATGCAAACAAACCACCTCTCACTCTGATCCATGGAACCAGACCACCTCACTGATCCATGCAAACAAACCACCTCTGACTCCTAATATTGCCACCAAACCACCTCTCACCCCTGATCCATGCAAACAAACCACCTCTCACTCCTGATCCATGCAAACAAACCACCTCTGACTCCTAATATTGCCACCAAACCACCTCTCACACCTAATCCATGCAAACAAACCACCTCTCACACCTGATCCATGCTACCAAACCACCTTTCACTCCTTATCCATGTCACCAAACCACCTCTCACTCCTGATCCATGGAAAACAAACCACCTCTCACTCCTAATATTGCCACCAAAACCACCTCTCACACCTGATCCATGCTACCAAACCACCTCTCACTCCTGATCCATGCAAACAAACCACCTCTCACACCTGGATCCATGCAAACAAACCAACTTCTCACACCTGGATCCATGCACCAAATGCACACAAACCACCTTCTCACTCCTGGACCTTTTGCCACCAAACCACCTCTCAGTTATGATCCATGCTACCCAACCACCTTCTCAGTTATGATCCATGCTACTAAACCACCTCTGACTTCTGATCAATGTCACCAAACTACTTCTCACTCCTGATCCATGGAAACAAACCACCTCTCTGGACTCCTAATATTGCCACTAAAAAACCATTCCTCTCAAATTATGATCCATGCTACTAAACCAATTCTCTGACTTTCTGATCCATGTCACCAAAACCACTTCTCACTCTCGTGATTCATGCACATCACGCCCACTGATTACAAGCCATCCAACCACATCACGCTCCACTACAAGCCATCCAACCACTACTATCACGCCTCCAGCACTACAAGCTCTTTCCAACTACTCTGACCCTCCCACTACACAAGCTATCCAACCACATCACGCCCACTCATGCCATCCAACCACATCACGCCTCCACCACAAGCCATCTAACCACATCACGCTCCACTACAAGCCAATTCAACCACATCACGCTCCACTACAAGCCATCCAACTACATCACGCTCCACTACAAGTAAGTTTTCCAACTACCTGACCTCCTCCTACATGTCATCCAAAATACCTCACCCTCCACTACAAGCCATCCAACCACATCACGCTCCACTACATGCCATCCAACCACATCACGCCTCCACTACAAGCCATCTAACCACATCACGCCCACTACAAGCCATCCAACCACATCACGCTTCCCACTACAAGCCTTCTCCCAACCACATCACGCCCACCATTGCCATCCAAACCACATCACGCTCCACTACAAGCCATCCAACCACATCACGCTCCACTACAAGCCATCCAACCACTCTTCACGCTCCCACTACAAGCCATCCAACCACATCACGCCCACTACAAGCCTTCCAACTACCTGACCTCCACTACAAGCCATCCAAACACCTCACGCCCACTACAAGCCATCCAACCACATCACGCCCACTACAAGCCATCCAACCACCCTACGCTCCACTACAAGCCATCCAACCACATCACGCCCACTACTCAAAGCCATCCAACCACCTCACGCCCACTACATAAGCCATCCAAATCCACCTAACGCTCCACTACAAGCCACATCCAACCACCTCACGCCCACTACAAGCCATCTAACCACCTAACGCCCCTCATTACAAGCCATCCAACCACCTCACGCTCCACCACAAGCCATCCAACCACCTAACGCTCCACTACAAGCCATCCAACCACCTCACGCCCACTACAAGCCATCCAACCACATCACGCCTTCCACTTCAAGCCATCCAACCAAATCACGCTCCACTCACAAGCCATCCAACTACCTGACACTCCACTACATGCCATCCAACCACCACCTAACGCTCCACTACAAGCCATCCAACTACCTGACACTCCACTACCTACAAGCCATCCAACTACCTGACACTCCACTACAAGCCATCCAACCACATCACGCTCCACTACAAGCCATCCAACCACCTAACGCTCCACTACAAGCCATCCAACCACCTCACGCTCCACTACAAGCCATCCAACCACCTAACGCTCCACTACAAGCCATCCAACCACCTCACGCTCCACCACAAGCCATCCAACCACCTAACGCTCCACTACAAGCCATCCAACCACCTCACGCTCCACTACAAGCCATCCAACCACATCACGCTCCACTTCAAGCCATCCAACCACATCACGCTCCACTACAAGCCATCCAACTACCTGACACTCCACTACAAGCCATCCAACCACCTAACGCTCCACTACAAGCCATCCAACTACCTGACACTCCACTACAAGCCATCCAACTACCTGACACTCCACTACAAGCCATCCAACCACATCACGCTCCACTACAAGCCATCCAACTACCTGACACTCCACTACAAGCCATCCAACCACCTAACGCTCCACTACAAGCCATCCAACCACCTCACGCTCCACTACAAGCCATCCAACCACATCACGCTCCACTACAAGCCATCCAACCACCTCACGCTCCACCACAAGCCATCCCACTTCTCATACCACCACAAGCTATCAAACCACCACATGCAATCAAAACAACTTCTCTCCTGTACTCTTTTGGTAAGTAATCAAGGATGTTGATGTGTATAGTCTTTGTAATAAGATATTCTTTAAGAGGCCCGAGACTATAGGGCTTTTGTTTTGGGAGGGGTAAGTCGATCGGTTCCACCTGCGGCAGGCAGTCTTTGCAAAATACGTCTTGAGTGATGTGCGCCTGCCGTCTTTTATCACAAACAACAATTCTATCTACCCCTGTGTTCTGATGCTTCAGTCGAAGTTCAAAGAGGTTGTCAATGCGACAACAGTTTAATAACAAAGCATAGCTTCACAGTTATTCCAGAAATACATGTACTTTATTTACAAGATGTGTGCAGCTTGCAAGAATCAAATAGAGCTGTATTTTGATTAGTATTTTACGTAATCTGTTACCATGACAACGGTGTAACAGTAGCCGGCGTCAAGACTTCTTAGTCTATTTGATATAATTCTCCAGCTAGCTGAAGGAAATCTCCTCCTCTCAGAGAGAAGGAGGTAAAACTCTTGGGGGTTAGTTTTGGTACCGTCTCAAGTCTTTCGCTTTTGGTTCTAATAACAAACCAATCAAAACGTCGCATTTCCGATCTCTGCCAATTAGATTGCTCGTAGCTAAAAGCGACAGCAGAAATAACAGCACACTGTGACCTTGGTACATACAGTGGTCTAAGAGCAGTTTAGGAAATAATGGTTTAGATAAGTTGGGATAATTTAGACAGAGAGAGAGAGAGCGAGAGAGAAAGAGAGAGAGTTATTGTTTTTGGTTTTGTTGTTCTAAAGGCCGTCAGCAACTGATATTCCGGTATTCGTAACATCAAACTTAGAAAGAGTTACATAATTAACTGAAATGTTGGTTTTCTGGAGAACCGATGCCAGCGTGTTTGTGTTCAACATCAAGTAGCTGCTAAGAGTATTCTTGTGAACGCCAACAAGAAATGTCTTTGACTGTCAGCACTGATCGGTTCTGCACGAGTCCAACATATGCTCATGCCAAGCAGTGCCCCATATCTTAGTGAAACTTACTGACGATGATCACAAGGTCTATCTTAGTGATTTGGGAAGCTTACTGACGATGATCAGAAGGTCTATCTTAGTGATTTGGGAAACTAACTGACGATGATCACAAGGTCTATCTTAGTGATTTGGGAAACTTACTGACGAGGATCACAAGGTCTATCTTAGTGATTTGGGAAACTTACTGAAGAGGATCACAAGGTCTATCTTAGTGATTTGGGAAATTTTACGGTGATCACAAGGTCTGTAGCAAGGATTGGGAAACTTGCTGACGAAGATCACAAGGTCTATCTTTGTGATTTGGGAAATTTGACGATGATCACAAAGTCTGTAGAGAGGATTGGGAAATTTACTGACTATGATCACAATTTTACTAGCAAGGATTGGGAAACTTACTGACGATGATCACAAGGTTTCTAGCAAGGATTGGGAAACTTACTGACGATGATCACAAAGTTTCTAGCAAGGATTGGGCACTTACTGACGATGATCACAAAGTTTCTAGCAAGGATTGGGAAACTTACTGACGATGATCACAAGGTCTGTAGCAAGGATAAGGGAACTAAATGATTGTCAGGTACATTTCAATGCTTAGAGGAACGTAAAGCTATGATCTCTTGTCTATGCCAATGATTATGAGAAGTTACACAAATTGATCTCGAGATTTATGCCAATGACGAGGGGAACTTTACTGACGATGATTTCGAGGTCTATAAGCATCTCGAAGACGACGATGAGGCTGTCCAGTACCACCAGGGCGATGATCACGTACTGCACTTTGTTCGTCTTCAGAAACTCGGCCAGTCTCTCTCGCCATCTGCAATTACATGGATTACTAGGAAGGAGCCACGATTACCCATTTGTTGTTACAGTGTGTGGTAATTGTACACGGCTGGTCAATCAACACGATTACAACTCACGCCTCCAAAAAATTAAATAAATTTAACAGATGTTTGGAATACCATTACCAGCCTTTACTATAACCGATTTGGGTAAAGCAGACTTTGTTATTCTGAATACTTCCCGTGAAAATTCATGATTACAAACAAAAGGGTTTAGGAAATGGATACTATCGATAGCAGTTAAAACTAGCAAAACAGTATAAAGCACACAGAAATCGGACGTAATAAAGGCGTTCGATATATCTTGTTTTCCTCCGACATCACAAGATAGATCTTGCATATAGACTTGTTGTTGATGGATATTTCTACATCCACACATAAATTGTCCACAGCCTGTTGTGTACACAGGTCGCGGCTCGTACAGGCGCTATATTTGTAAGGATGTCACAAATATCCTATTCACAAACATGCCATTCCCTCCACATCACTAAAACCACACACATCATAAATAATTGTATCTGTAGGGAAGTATCTCACACAAATCCCTAAATCTACTGTGTACGTCGCATGCAAATCTAGTGGATATAAATTCATCACGGCGTAATGAAGGATTGAAGGATACTGTCTTTGACAGGTCATCGATTCCCTGGTCATCAGAGATTCCTGATGTTGAGTCGCAGCTTAAACCCTCCTTTTCTGGAAATAACATCTTGTCAGAGAGAATCAGCAGCAACAGGCATCCATCAGCTTCAGACGCGATATGATGGACAGCTGAGATCATCTTGCACAAGTGTGTTTGGCAAAGAGAAGCGCTGAAGATCAGTTACTGACGAAAGGCCAAATCACCTCAAAGACTTACAAATACTTTCGCATGTTGTTGTGTTTGGATTTAATAAAGGTCACACAGTGACCTCCCGTCCTACAGCCTCCTCTAATCTAACAGGCGGTATCCTTATCTTTTACAAAGAATGACCACCCGTCATACAGCGTCCACTAATCTAACATGCGGTTTCTTTATCTTCTACATAGAATGTTCTTCCGTCCTACTGCGTCCTCTAATCCAACAGGCAGATTCCTTATGTGCTACAAAGAATGTCGTCCGTATTACAGCGTCCTCTAATCCAACAGGCAGATTCCTTATGAGCTACAAAGAATGTCGTCCGTATTACAGCGTTCCTCTAATCCAACAGGCAGATTCCCCTTTATGTGCTACAAAGAATGCCTTCCTTGTCCCACAAGGTACAGACACTCCACCTACCGCTCATCTCGGCTTTTCAGGACTCATGCAACATAAGCTAAGGCCCATTCAATTGTAGGGCAGTGCTGTACCACTGAATACGGTTAGTCAAAGGATGTCAGTGTGGGTGCTGCAGAGGTGAGACAAACCTCGCAAATGTTGACAAATTTACGGAACATTCTGCGTCAAGTTAACTAAGTGCACATACCTACCTTGATAGCATTAAAACACTCCACGTCAATTATGTACACGAGTTAATCGATCTTACTTATACTTTTCTATCTGTCAACGTAAAGTTCCAATCTGCAACCTGTTTTCACGTTGGCAATCTCACCAGCTCAGAAGAAGTCTTACTCTGTTGACCTACATCTTTCTCTTTGTCACATGTTTAGATAAGTGTGTATATTGTTCTTTGAACGGTAATCGATGTGTAAGTATTTTGCTTTGTTTACCAATCCATATTTCCTTTGGACATAAAATATGTATAAACGAGATTTCTTTGGGCACAAAATACTTAATAGCTATGAGAAGCATATGAATGGGTCACTGAAAATCAGTGATGCTCATCACGTGTCGCTAAAAGGGTAAGCGTTTCCTGCCCTAAACGGTAGCACCCCATCAACAGTTGGCAAGCAGATAGGTAAGTATAGTCTGACACCGCATTAATGTACTGCTGCCGCCATGAAAGCGTCCGAAACCAACCAAACAATCCAGTAATCGATGGACCTGAAAATCTACACTACACCAGATTTTAAACAAAAAATCAGGAGGAAAGCGCCGCTTCTTGGTATGCAGAGGATTACAAAACAGGAACATAACGTAATGGGAGTAGATGACGAGGCATTGACTTGTAGGGGATGTTCCATGAATGAAATCTGCAGTATTGTTTTAGTCCGGTAAACCCGGTGTAAACTTTCTCAAGAAGGCTTTTTAAAGGAAGCTGCAGACTATTTGTATGGCTGACATATAACAAGAGTAATCATACGCTGTTAGAAATAGGGTCTTCACAAACGCTGGACAATAGTTAACATGCAACATGGATATCCAGACACATTCACAGCAGAGTTTAACAAACTATAGGTTACATTTAGTTGGCACAGAAAAAAACATCATTTCAATTATGTATAAACAAGTCCAATAAACTATTGTTATTTTGCATAATTTGTGTTGGCACCATTGCTTCTACCGCTATCCAGTTAAGAAAAAATAAAACACACATTAAAGCCAGACCTGCCTTGTCATCACTGTGTTCTATTATCTACTGTTCGTGGTCGCTAATGACATGTCATTTAACGGTAACTAGTGCAATGACTGGTATGACAATATGATGACAAATTAGCTGGTATTGCCCGTTCCCTCTAAATCCTCTATATAAGAGATTGCGTATCACCTAAGCAAGCATGTATTGTTGTCAGTTTTATTCTTTTCCCATGTCTACAGTGACAACCCTAATTTCCGAATTTCAAAACTGTTCCCGCTGGCCAGTACGGCAGGGACAAGATCGGTTTACGTCTGAGGCCTTGTTTCTTCAGCATTTGCAACATGTCTACAGGAAATGTGTGTCGGACGAGACAAGATGTCAAACAAATACACATCTCAATCAGACTTTCAGAATGGTGACGAGAAAAAGGAAAACTTTACAACACACTCTCCTGAACGTGAGTGGTATTGAAGCAGCACTCAGAGGTGCCATCATGTAGGAATTCTACTTACGTTGTTAAACACACGAGACACAATTGAGTCACGCCATATGCACAGACAATGATCCATTGGGAACAAGCAAAGAGCAATAAAGAAGACCACTGAAACTCTCTGATGACACTCAAGTGTTCTCAAAAAAGGTAATACTATACTTCTCCACCAGGACCTGCCACTCTAATAATTTGCATAAGAAAATAAATGTTAGTTTATTGCCATACGACGTCGGCTTGTAAACAATCGAGTATGGACAAGATAATCTGACGTGTCCATTGACGCGATCCCCTGCTTACTAATTTCGTTAAAATAAAGACAAACACGAAAGTAAATTGTTTTATGAGCTGGTCTCTCGACCATCTGACGTGATAGGCAACATAGTAATGCAAAACAACCAGAATGAATGGTGCCGACCAACGGAACAGATAGAAACCATGAAAGTAACACAAACTACAAATGCTTCGAGTATCAAGATGAAATATCATCTTCCTGCATATTCAAGGTGGCATGCCACTCACAGGACAACTGTACACATTACAAATGAGTGGAAACAAATAGAGATTCCTGAATATACCCGCTCAAGCAAACACCATCTTCTATTTCTTTCTCGGTCGATAAGTTAAGGCTATTCCCTTATAAACTCATATTTAAGAAAAGCAAGATTTATGGATGTCAACTTTTATTGCGAATAACACGAAGTTTCGGAGAGTATGCTTGCCCCTTCACCAGGTGAACGGTAGGGAGTAAGAGTGAGTGAGTTTAGTTTTACCCGCACTCAGCAATATTCCAGCTTATATGGCAGCGGTCTGTAAATAATCGAGTCTGGACCAGACAATTCAGTGATCCAGCAATTGGGAACCGATGACATGTGTCAACTAATTGTAAGCCAGCGAGCCTGACCACCCGATCCCGTTAGTCGCCTCTTACGACAATGAAAAACTGTAGCTTGAATATCTCTAATTTTGCAAAAATCGTTTCTGTATCTATAGACTGCAATGTTTTCTACCTTAATATCAATTTATGACCATTTCGGGTGTTATTTGCAAGAACCCGACATCTCTCGAATGTTGAGGTCTCGCCAGTATTTGAACATACTTTCTACATTTCCAGCGTTCGGTACGTTTTGGCCCTTCATACAAGGATGAAAAACCCAGCTTGAATATCTCAAATTTTGTAAAAAATCGTGTATGTATCTATAGACTGCAATGTTTTCTAACTAAATATCAATTTATGACCATTTCGGGTAGTATTTGCAAAACCAGACAGCCTGAATGTAGGTGTCTCTCGCCAGTAATTCTAAACATACTTTCTACATTACCAGCGTTTGGTACCGTTTTGGCCCGATACGAGCTGGGTTACGGCAGATTTATTCTAACCCGGACCTTCACGGGTCGGTAGGGAGTAAGAGGGGGATATATATACGTACATTGGGGGACTACAAAGAAAACATATTTAACAATATTGAAGGAGCAAGCATATACCTGATGAAGGAGCAAGCATATACCTGATGAAGGAGCAAGCATATACCTGATGAAGGCGCAAGCATACACTCCGAAACGTCGTGTTATTCACAATAAGGAAGTTGACATCCATAAATCTTGCTTTTCTTATGCATTCCACTTCTAAATGCCCTTCAAAGAATTAAACTCATATTTGTTTCGAAAGCTGGGGCTTTTGTGTTTCTGACAAATGTAGCCCAAGTAAGAGGCAACAGTTCTCTCGTGTCATACATATATTTATGACTGAAACATTCACTAAAACAAGGATATATATAATTCTATCTACCATTCATGTTTTACCCAATGGCATTTAATGACCTCTATTGTGTGAATCCTTCACAAGGCGATGATTTATCACGATCAATCATATCTTCAAATCTACGTGAATAGAAAGCATGACTATGCTCCTACGTAGGACTCCATCTATCAATAAACCTGAACTTCTTGTCGGAAATCAATACTCCCTTTAGTTGTGTTGTATTCTGACACGAACAATGTTGGGAAGATTAAACTACATGACACCGATGTGTCATTCTGTATTCAACACACCTCCTCAAACAGACATAAGCAACTGATACGCAGATATATTTGTTTTCTATAACAATGTGTACTTTGTGAGTGTACTCACGGTATTTGAGGGTTCGTGTGAGGCGTCCTCCGCCTCCTCTATTGTATGAAGTGAGATCTTCTCAGAGACATCCGCGTCTGCCATGTCTGAAGAAACAAACCCTATGTCGTCTGCTCCGTGGTTTGAAAAGTCTGTCGATCAGAGAAAGGCCACACATTTGCAATTCAACTCAGGCAGGCGGCCAGAGACAAGAACTCGCCCCGCTCATGGAAATCACAGCAGAGGTGTAACATCGCACGGTCGCTGTCCGCTTCATCGAATACCCAATTTCTAGTTTTACACACAGGCTATTGCTAGAGCACGAAGTATAAGCTGCATATGACAATAAGTCGTTGGTTTTGTGTGGCTGACACAATTTGTTGTCAAGATTAGTGAGTACAGGCTTAATCCATCAACACATCTGGAATATCCACATTTCAATGAAACAGATTCTCAGCTTCATGCATCTTCAACTCATATCAGTTTTTGAATCCTCTAAGCATAGGATCATCTTATATTCCGACTTTTTTCCAATGGAAACAATGGCACGGAATTCCATAAAGCTTGAAACACAACTACACCCTGCGGATGACTGTAGAACAAAGTTCACATCGTACCGGAGAGCAATGCGCTTATCGTACAAATTTGGACACAATTCCAAGGAATATTTTATTTATGATATGTCATTTTAAAAATTCTTTTCTCTCGGAGCGGCCACGTGTTTGATGCTGCACGTGCTGGAA